AACATTTAAGCAAAACCTCAACATGAAATTATAAATTTTAAAAAATTGAAAAAATTGAAAAAAAAAAATGGGGAACATGGTTGCTGATTGAGCCTAATTTAATGCCAACCATCTTATTTTTAATTTATAGTCATTGATATACTTATTTTTCCCCATACAGGAAAATGGTCAGTGAAATATTCTTTGTTCTTACAGTATCTTACGTAACACCGGTAACACTGAATGGCTCCTCTTTCTTGAGTATGTATAAACTACAGATTTTTTTTTTTTTTAAACTTCATGACTTGTCCTCTGCCATGTTGTAGAAAAGATCCAAGTTGATTTTACTTCAGGTGTAACAATTTTAGGGAATGTTTATCTTATATTATAATCAATGGAAGATTGTGTGATTAACCTCTTTAAACAGACACAATTAAAATCAATTTTACTACAATTAATTGACTATCAGCAGAATGGACATAGATTTCAAATTTAATTTGTTCTGAGCACTAAACTTGGTTATCTGGCATTGCCAATAGCTCATAATAGGCCATGAGCCGTAGAAGAAGACCAGCTACTGAAGGGAAACTCTGTGAAACTTGGCTGGACACTCTTCTGTTCTCTGCATTCTCTCACACCTGCTCCCTGGCCCTGCTGACCCAAGAGCCAGAATTCCCTTTATGAAACACAATCTGGGTCAGTGAAAACTCTGGCTTTGTTTGAATATTCAGCAAAGGCGTCATGATGATTTGAGTTATTTTAGCAGTGGGAATTCTAACATATTACCTGTTTTATATTAAAATCATTGATCCTTGTCAGTGGCTCTAACAAATTTGACATTGAATAGTTGATCTCCTTTTGTTTTTATGAGGGTCTTTTGAGCTCCTTTTGCTGACATTTTCATTTGAGGCACTAACACTTAATATACAAGTTGTGTATAAAATAGTCATAAATGATTATACATTTTTTTTCACAGTGGAACATTGTGTGGTTTTGATCCTCGGAGTCATGTTTTCCTGGGCTTGTGAACCAGACGCTGGTCCAAGTGGGCTTTGGAAGTGGCTCCGCTAGCCCAATCTGCCCTGCCTGTCCAGACTGCACATTTATTTACTTCTAACCTTGGCAGAGGGTCGGTGTGAATTATTACTAGCTCGGTTTTGTTGTGTAGTTGTTTGTAACTTATGGGCTTGGCCTTGACACGATTGACAGAATACCCGTATTTTCCGACATTTGTTATCAAGGGAGCTGAAATGAACTGACTGTTTTGTTGATTCCAGATCCTCCTCCTAAACCTCAACATGAAATTATAAATTTAAAAAAATTGAAAAAATTGAAAAAAAAAATGGGGAACATGGTTGCTGATTGAGCCTAATTTAATGCCAACCATCTTATTTTTAATTTATAGTCATTGATATACTTATTTTTCCCCATACAGGAAAATGGTCAGTGAAATATTCTTTGTTCTTACAGTATCTTACGTAACACCGGTAACACTGAATGGCTCATCTTTCTTGAGTATGTATAAACTACAGATTTTTTTTTTTTTTAAACTTCATGACTTGTCCTCTGCCATGTTGTAGAAAAGATCCAAGTTGATTTTACTTCAGGTGTAACAATTTTAGGGAATGTTTATCTTATATTATAATCAATGGAAGATTGTGTGATTAACCTCTTTAAACAGACACAATTAAAATCAATTTTACTACAATTAATTGACTATCAGCAGAATGGACATAGATTTCAAATTTAATTTGTTCTGAGCACTAAACTTGGTTATCTGGCATTGCCAATAGCTCATAATAGGCCATAAAAAATTGAAAAAATTGAAAAAAAAAAATGGGGAACATGGTTGCTGATTGAGCCTAATTTAATGCCAACCATCTTATTTTTAATTTATAGTCATTGATATACTTATTTTTCCCCATACAGGAAAATGGTCAGTGAAATATTCTTTGTTCTTACAGTATCTTACGTAACACCGGTAACACTGAATGGCTCCTCTTTCTTGAGTATGTATAAACTACAGATTTTTTTTTTTTTTAAACTTCATGACTTGTCCTCTGCCATGTTGTAGAAAAGATCCAAGTTGATTTTACTTCAGGTGTAACAATTTTAGGGAATGTTTATCTTATATTATAATCAATGGAAGATTGTGTGATTAACCTCTTTAAACAGACACAATTAAAATCAATTTTACTACAATTAATTGACTATCAGCAGAATGGACATAGATTTCAAATTTAATTTGTTCTGAGCACTAAACTTGGTTATCTGGCATTGCCAATAGCTCATAATAGGCCATGAGCCGTAGAAGAAGACCAGCTACTGAAGGGAAACTCTGTGAAACTTGGCTGGACACTCTTCTGTTCTCTGCATTCTCTCACACCTGCTCCCTGGCCCTGCTGACCCAAGAGCCAGAATTCCCTTTATGAAACACAATCTGGGTCAGTGAAAACTCTGGCTTTGTTTGAATATTCAGCAAAGGCGTCATGATGATTTGAGTTATTTTAGCAGTGGGAATTCTAACATATTACCTGTTTTATATTAAAATCATTGATCCTTGTCAGTGGCTCTAACAAATTTGACATTGAATAGTTGATCTCCTTTTGTTTTTATGAGAGGCCATGAGCCGTAGAAGAAGACCAGCTGCTGAAGGGAAACTCTGTGAAACTTGGCTGGACACTCTTCTGTTCTCTGCATTCTCTCACACCTGCTCCCTGGCCCTGCTGACCCAAGAGCCAGAATTCCCTTTATGAAACATGTAGCGGATCAGCTCATGGGGAAATATGAATAATTAACCATAACTAGTTATAATTAACTATTCATATTTTAGATCCACTGCAGCAAAGGCGTCATGATGATTTGAGTTATTTTAGCAGTGGGAATTCTAACATATTACCTGTTTTATATTAAAATCATTGATCCTTGTCAGTGGCTCTAACAAATTTGACATTGAATAGTTGATCTCCTTTTGTTTTTATGAGGGTCTTTTGAGCTCCTTTTGCTGACATTTTCATTTGAGGCACTAACACTTAATATACAAGTTGTGTATAAAATAGTCATAAATGATTATACATTTTTTTTCACAGTGGAACATTGTGTGGTTTTGATCCTCGGAGTCATGTTTTCCTGGGCTTGTGAACCAGACGCTGGTCCAAGTGGGCTTTGGAAGTGGCTCCGCTAGCCCAATCTGCCCTGCCTGTCCAGACTGCACATTTATTTACTTCTAACCTTGGCAGAGGGTCGGTGTGAATTATTACTAGCTCGGTTTTGTTGTGTAGTTGTTTGTAACTTATGGGCTTGGCCTTGACACGATTGACAGAATACCCGTATTTTCCGACATTTGTTATCAAGGGAGCTGAAATGAACTGACTGTTTTGTTGATTCCAGATCCTCCTCCTGTAGACTGGGTAATCTTCACCATCTTTATGCTGGCTCGTGTGCCCTGGTTTTGTGGGAATTGTGTCTGCTCAGGATTTCTTCTTGCGTTCATGGTCTGTCTGGTTTTCACAATTCCCAACTTTAGTTGGTACCAGTAGCAGTGGAATTTCATGATTCTTGATAGCAATTTAGATGCTGTAGCAATAAAATATGCTAATGAAAGTGAACATACTCCTTGTATTAGGGGTATAAATACGAGAATATTAAATAATAACAGTAAAGCCATATATACTGAGATACTGAAAAAATCTAAATACTGAGAAAATCGCCTTTAAAGTTGTCCAAATGAAGTTCTTAGCAATGCATATTACTAATCAAAAATTAAGTTTTGATATATTTATGGCAGGAAATTTACAAAATATCTTCATGGAACATGATCTTTACTTAATATCCTAATGACTGGCATAAAATAAAACCGATAATTTTGACCCATACAATGTTGTTTTGGCTATTGCTAAAAATATACACAAGCGACTTAAGACTGGTTTTGTGGTCCTGGGTCACATATGTATGTCTATGTATGAATGTATGTATGTATGTATGTATGTATGTATATATATATATATATATATGTCACTCCTCCATGTTTGGCTACATGCTGCTAATAATAAAATGTGGTGAAGGCAGAAAATCATAATAACTTTGTGTCTACAGATTATAGACTAGTCTAAAAGACTCGCAGGCTCAAGGAAAAATCATCAGAAAGCACTCAAAATGGACTTTAATGATCAGCCTGCACAAAACAGGGCCTCAGGTTTTCTGCTTGTCACTGAAATTACCGTAATTTTCATAATAGGTAAACACAGTTATTTTCATTCATCTTTCTTGAACGTTGTGACTGCATTTGGGCACTAAATTGTTGTAGCTGGTGTTTGGTACTAATAATACTGTGAAAAGACTTTGTATAGTTTATATTTGACTTTTTAGCATTGATTTTTGACTTCCCTGTTCTATAGTGAATATTAATTAGGGCCTACTTTTAATGAGGAATGTGTTCATATAAAACAGTTCCTGTTATTTCATTTTGTTGTTAAAGCAAACAAAATACTGTTGTCCATCATTGGCATCTGTATTTGCCAATATAGCTTGTTCTTTTAAAAGTAGATTATAGCTGTTTTTAAAATGATTGTAATGATTTATTTTCCCCACCTCAGTTGATTATCTGCTGCTAGAATTTCCCTTAAAAGAAAATGAGTGGATATGATCAAACTCGCCAGGAGAAGAAAGAGATAAACAGCACAAGCTCCTGGTTATGAGATCTGCGGTTACTACAGCAACTAGACTGAAATGTACTTTATTCATTATTAAAATTGGATTAATTCAATGTAGAATAAATTTGATTTGAAGTATTCTTGAGTTTTTAGGTTTGGACTAATTTGGCAAAAATATCTTCTGGATGAAGAAAAATGTCAGATCAGGGTACTATGAATGATTTACTGCAGTACCAAAGGCAGTATTATGACTTACTACAACAGCCGTAACCATTTGCTCGTTAGTTACTCTTTAATTTGATGTTCAATTACCATTTTAACCCATGCAGTATGCCTTTTTGCTCATGATCTGTTCTTCTCTTTCGGCAGGATGACTGGAGTGGCATTAATTCAAACAGAATTCAATCACACAGCAATGCTGATGACAAAGCCCACAGCCTAGAGACCCTTCCTCCGGGTAAGAGCCAACCTGACAACTCATGTGCATAATCAGCTCATGTCAGGATTAGCCCGCTCTCATAATTCAAGTTTTCTTTTTCCGTCCCAGATGAATAATGGAGCGTTTTGTTCTCCGGGAAATGCTCAAAGATGGATTTTAATGAACAGCTTGCACAAAAGAGGGCATCAGGTTTTTCTTCTCCCGTAAACAGAACTTAACCTGAGGTTTTCTGCAAAAGTAGGTGTAGAAAATTTCACTTGAGGGCACCTAAAAATGCATGAGAGTGATTTGAGAGTGACTTTATGACTGGCCTGAAGTCAAGAACTCAGTGTTTTCGCTCTTCATTCCCTTCTGGAAATGTACTTCTTTGTGATCCAACTGAACTGGGCTGCTTAATACATTAAGCCTTAGATATTAACATATGCTTTTTATAGACTTCCTGCATTTAAAAACAGTATTGTATTAAGGTTGTGAATGCATTATTTATTTCGCTCATTAGTTGCTATGTCATGCAATCGCTCTGGAACTGAGGTCCACAGAGAGCTGTTCTATAAAATTTGTCATAAGCATCAGATTACATTCATGTGTCGTTGTATGCCATGCAATATATTTCCTGTCTGTTGTTCTCCCAGGCACTGTTTCAGGGAATCATCAGTAGTTTCTTGTCTCCTTGTGTTACTCTTGTAATTTAGGTTACCCAAAAGATTTCCACCAAGCAGAACAGTCACCCAGGAGTACCTGATTTCATCTGTAATTAAGAGAACCGATTTAAAGTGATAGTGTGCCTAAAATTTCCATCTTGCCACCCTCACATTGCTCCTGTTTGATTTTTTCCCCCTCTTCCTTTCGAGGAACATGGACATAAAAACACTAGAACTACACTAGTGTTTCTCAGTTTTCTCAGATGTTTTTCTTTAAATCATGATCAAACATTTATTTAGAATACTTGTTTGGTGCATAAACTGAGTCAAGAAAGTCTGGAAGAAAAAAAGTTATCTGTAATTTGTAGTAATATTAAATTTTGCAACCAAGCATGATGTATGTGCTCACTCTGTGTAGGATTGTGAAATAGATCACTTTACTGTGTAATATTCCGGCCTGGAAATTGGTGATGTTCACACTCTTCCTCCCGCTCCCCGGCTATGTGTGCATGCTGCGTGTCGGAGAGCACTTTGTCTAGAATTTTGCAGTGTTACGTGAAGTGTGGAGGTCGCAGCTGAGACGCTCTGTTCTCCTTTGAGCAGCTAATTAGTCTGATGACAGCCCCTACAGTTCTCTGCCGTGGGACGAGCTATCGACCTTGCACAAGTAGGGTTTGTGTTTTTTCTGGGTGATCTCGCTGAGCTTCAGTGGTGTTGTACGTAATATTGGAGATGCCAGACTTTGATTCTTTACTCTAGCTTTCTGTGTGCATCTTTTTGACCTAAATTACAGGCCTGAGCTCTTGAGATGACCTTTTTCTAATCTTTCTGTCCCAGCTATCGCAGGAGGCAAACTTTAAATTGTGAGACAGGGCTGTTATTAATGTGTCTGTCACCCTTTTGGTGCATTGCAGTTCAGGATAATTAACCTCAGCTTTCATTTAACTTATGCATCCTGTATTACATCACTGTTGTGCATCATCTGATTCTTGCATTTTACGAAAACAAAATAAAATAAAAATCACCTGATTCTAGTGTGCTATATAATAGTAAAGTGCCAGTATTTTTTGCTGATGAAAGTTGAACTTTTGAATTCTCCCAAATGGCTTGAACAGAGACTCTTCATCTGCTTGAATGAATCTTTTATGCTGTCTTTGCATGTTCAACACGATTAGTTGGCAGGATTGAGCACCGGCCCCCTTTAGTACCTTTCAGGGACATTTATGGGTTTCATAATGTTGACAAATGATCACTGGTTATTACACTACACTTCAAGAGTATTTGATCTCACCTTAAGGATTCTGGTTTGGAACCATTGGGACATGTAGACTAGTTAAAAAGATAATGGTATACATTCTATCACAAAACAAAACAAACTTACATTGTTGAATTCAAACTATATTGCTGGCGTTTCTGAAGTTCCTCAAGTCTGCACAATGTACTCTTACTTGAAGTTCACACTGTAACAATTTTTTTTTTATCCACTTTTTTTTTTATCCACAGATGTTTATAGAAATGAACATGATAGAAACATGGTGTAGTATATAATTAAGTGGTTAAGACCATATCTAAGAGTTTAGCTTTTCCTTTCAGTTCTGCTCCTAATTTGAAATGTTGTCCTTTGTTCATTAACAATTCCTGTGGCAGTGGTCTTGGCCTCTGAGTCGATGTTAGCGCTCTGCTGGATAGCTGGCATCAGTGGCATGTAATTCTCACTCAGGTTGGCCTAATTATAATGCAGAAGACGTTTGCCAGAGCCCTGCTAAATTAATTGCTTATAGTCTTTTGTAATGATAGATAACATAATCAAATTCTGCCACATGGTTCTGAGGTCTAAGTATCATCCCAGCCATCTCTGCCGTTAAACTCATTGACAGCGTCGACTGCTGCCATGTTACTGTGGGATGTGACTAACATCAAAATGGAAAAATAGCATTTTTTGTTAAGAGGGAAAGCTAAGCTTGTGGTTGAGAAATCACTTAAAGCAGACTGTTATGGAATGGCTCCATTTGGCAAATATCCTCATATATTATCATTTGGAAAATGTCTTTTTTTGACAGACTCACCTGGGTTGTAATCAACTAAAGATGTCTAGACAGCTCCTTTCACATTCTTTTTGGACAACTGTGATTTATAGTGTAATAATGGGCAGCAGTGCATTCAAGGTTTTTGTCTTGGCTAAAAGAGATGCTTCTAAGAAACATGAGTATTTCATTCAAAAACACACAGTACACTTTTTCACTTTATATTATAGTGTGAAAATTTGTCCTTTGTAAATGACAAGTATGTTGTCTGGAATGATGTAGGTGTCTTTGGACATGTACTTACTGACTAATTGATAGTTTCAAAATTGTTCAGATGGTAAGATGCCTGCTCATACAGTATTGTTAAAATAATCAATCCACAGCATTTGATTCATGTGTACACTGGGTAAAAATCAGCCTTTTGGTAATGGAAATGGCAAGAAAACAACATTTATTTAGCCTTTTTTTGTTGTAAAGATCTAGATGTCCTGTTTACTGTGACATCCAATGTTTAATCATCCGTTTGTCACATTTTTCAGGGAAGGTTAGGTGGCAGGACTTTGACCAGGACCTGTACGTGGGAGCTACAGTGGTGAGGCCAGGGCAGGATCCCTACGCCCGCAACAAGTTCAACCAGGTTGAGAGTGACAAACTCAGAATGGACCGCAGTGTCCCTGACACCAGGCATGACCAGTAAGTCCCAGTCGAGTTTTTAGCTCAACTCATTCATTTAAAGTGCCCCTATTATGCCATTTTTAAGGTTCCTTATATTGTTTTGGGTGTCTCCTACAATAGGTTTACTGCATGGAAGGTCAAAAAATGCTTCAGTTTTCTCAAAATATGCATTTAATATTACCTATTTTCCAACAATTCATTCGAAGCAGTTCTAAGAAATACTGGTCTACCCGATACAGCGCGTGTCAGAAATGATACACCAATTGCCATAGTTCTGTATTTTGAACACTCAAAAGAAAATATAAACATCTATTATTGATCATACTTACAGGTTGTTATTCAGTGGAGCAGCTGGTTCAAATAAACTGGGTATTGAGCCATCTTTCAAGACCAAGTGTTTTGTGAATCCTGTGTTGAACTCCCCAAGATTAGAGAAGCAGTCGTCAGTAAAATGACGGATACTCAAAAAAAGACTGGGGTTGTACTGCTGTGGTACAGTGGAAAAAAATTATTTTAACCACTGATTCTTTGCAGCCTCATCTTTCGGCAGTGAAAATAAAATACATTTACTTTCACAGCTTAGGACACGGTGTCTTCCCGACATGATGTTAACCACATGAACAAGCTACAGTGTTTGAGGGTGGGGTCAAGTTGTTCGCAGACAGCCAACATAGAACACAGGCAGGAATTATGCAAAAGTGTTACTCCGTGACATGTAGCCATCATGGAAGTGGGATTTGAATTACAGACGACTTGTTTAGAGTCGATTCTTTCTTTTGGGAGACAATAACTTTATTTATCGTGCACTTTCAGCTTTACAACTTTGAAGATTGTTTACATTCACATACAGCTACATTACACACTGCATGAAAGGCAGTATTCGAAATGGCATAATAGGGGCACTTTAAAGGGGTCATGAACTGAGAAATCAAAATTCCCTTGATCTTTTGACATTTAAAAGGTCATTGTACTATAAAAACATCCTGCAAGTTTCAGAACTCAAAACTTTCTCGTTAGTCTAAAAACAGCTTATATTGAAGCCAATCTGCCAAAATGACAGGTTGTGGAATGTGCTACTTTATGACATAATAGTGTGGCTAAACACCGCCTCCGCAGAAGAACATCAACGTCTGCTTCTACATCACTGCCTGTTTAGCTCCGCCCACCGATTCATGCATGTAGTGTAAATAACGAGAGAGGCAAACGCAGGTCTACGCAGAAATTAAACGATAAAGATGACTATGAAGACAACAAGACACTGTGCAGTGCCAAGCTGTGGAAAAACACAGTCTTTGCATTGCCTTCCTTCTGATCCCAACATTAGGAAAGAGTGGATGAAGTTTATTTTTAGAAGATCCAGACCGCGTCAGTAAGAACTCTGTCCTTTGTTCACTTCATTTTACCATGGATTTGTTTACAAACCAGGCACGATTCGACACAGGATTTTCAGAAAGATTGAAACTAATAGATGATTCTGTGCGACTATTTTGGATCCGACAGTAATGTCACACCACACAACTGCGAGTAACTGTTTTTATTATGTGCTCACTATTACTTTGTCTGTTATTACAGATCGTTTGATATGTACTGAGTATTTATGCATTTTAACCTAAAACACAGCATCTATGAGGGATGTAGGCTGTCAAACATACACAACTGTTAGCCAATCATAGCAGTGCACGTTTACTTCCGAGTCCACAATCCGCCACACCTATTCAAACAGAGCGTTCCGATGAGGGGGTCAAAACAGGATAGAAAATAGCCTATTACTTCTAAATAATTATGTTTTTTGGTGTAAAAATTCTTGATAACGTTATAAGTGGTGTTTAGAGAACAGTGCAAAAAAAAAAAAGGCAGTTCATAACCCCTTTAACACTCAAGAAATAGAGCTTTGCTTCTTGTTCAGTTCACTTCATTGAAATAATAAGCTAATGCTCAACACAGTTCTTGAATTTGTTTTGCAGCTTAATTTCATTTCATGTAATCAGTTTTAATTAGTAAAATAGAAGTTTACTTAATTTTTTTGTGTTGGGACAACATTGAATCATTTTCATTTGTTTGTGATGTCCAGGTCCTGGAATGCTTTACATAGGCAAATGTTGAAATTAAAGGGATAGTTCACCTTCAGTCGCTGGTCCCCGTTGACTTGCATAGTGTTTTTTTTTTTCCCATACTGTGGAAGTCAATGGGGACCAGCAACTGAAGATAGAGCTTTGCTTCTTGTTCAGTTCACTTCATTGAAATAATAAGCTAATGCTCAACACAGTTCTTGAATTTGTTTTGCAGCTTAATTTCATTTCATGTAATCAGTTTTAATTAGTAAAATAGAAGTTTACTTAATTTTTTTGTGTTGGGACAACATTGAATCATTTTCATTTGTTTGTGATGTCCAGGTCCTGGAATGCTTTACATAGGCAAATGTTGAAATTAAAGGGATAGTTCACCTTCAGTCGCTGGTCCCCGTTGACTTGCATAGTGTTTTTTTTTTTCCCATACTGTGGAAGTCAATGGGGACCAGCAACTGAAGGTGAACTATCCCTTTAAGAAGTATTTAATGTGTTTTTGAATAACATGAGAGACATTGGGGAGAATACACAGGACAATGTTCACATGTTTGTAGGGTTTTTTTTTTCCCCAACAAAGATGCATTTATTTGATCAAAAATACATTAGCAAATGTTATTTCAATTTAAAATAACTATTTTCTATTTGAATATATTTAAAAAATGTAACTTGTTCATGTGATGACAAAGTTGAATTTTCAGCATCATTACTCCAGTCTTCAGTGTCGCATGATCCTTCAGAAATCATTCTAATATGCTTATGATGCATTTATTATTACCAATGCTATGAACAGTTGTGCTTGCTTAGCCTAATATTTTAGTGAAAACCATGATACATTTTTTTAGGATTCTTTAATGTATAGAAGGTTCAAAACAACAACATTTATTTGTAGAAGTCTTTTGTAACATTATAAGTTTACTGTAATTTTTGATCAATTTAATGCATCCTTCTTGAATATAAGTATTAATTATTTTTAAAAAAATTCTTACTCCAAACTTTTAAATGGTAGTGTATGTCCAAATAAAATATTACTTTAAGAAGGCTTGCTTGTTCTTTGAATAATAGCCAGTAGTTAGCTGCACGAGATTCTGTTGAATTAATGTCAAAATTTAATAGAATTTACACAATTCTGTTATATTTGAATTAAATTCTCTAGCACTTTCTATTCTATTTTAAATTCTACTTTATCTATATTTATCATCTTTTTTTATTTAAAAAAACCCACTAGCTTTCTATTTTTTCTATTCTATCTACTTGTTTTTCTTTGTGTGTGTGTGTGTGTGTATATATATACACCTTGCTACGTGTACTGTGATAGGCTAACCGAGACTTGTGATTTGCACTTATATATTGTTACTCTTTTTTTAGTTTTGACTGCTTTTATTGTCCTCATTTGTAAGTCACTTTGAATAAAAGAGTCTGCTAAATGACTAAATGTAAATGTAATGTGAATTTGAGTAGAGTTACAGTTTAGTTTAAGAAAACCAATTTCCAATGCGTGGTGACACTTCTCATAGTTGAGTTAAGTTTAGTGAAAGCATTATTTAAAGTGAAGTTACTCGCATATCTGAACATTAGACTCCGGCTACTGGGCACAAAATCGAATTAAAACTGTTTCCTTTGGTCCTGTAGAGTATTAAAGCATTCTTTCCACTGATAATGGATTGTTCATGTTACACAGAGCATTTGCCTCACTTTGTAAGGGTTTTCCATTGCCTAATTCATTATGTAGTGTGTCTTACTTTACAACACATAGTGAATGCCAAGAACTGTGTCAGTGGTTAGGCTACTGGGCACAAAATCGAATTAAAACTGTTTCCTTTGGTCCTGTAGAGTATTAAAGCATTCTTTCCACTGATAATGGATTGTTCATGTTACACAGAGCATTTCCCTCACTTTGTAAGGGTTTTCCATTGCCTAATTCATTATGTAGTGTGTCTTACTTTACAACACATAGTGAATGCCAAGAACTGTGTCAGTGGTTCTTTGTGATAAAGTCAGTCAAACTGAATGTGCTAAATTAATTTCTGATTCTCATAAAGAAGATATGTCATTTGATGAGAGATGCTTACACAGCACAATGATAGAGAAATGCATGAAAAGCACTTCCACAGCAAATCGGCGAGTCTTTCAAAACTTCATCTTCATCCGTCTGTCGGTCACAGTATCCTTGAGGTGGTAAAGTAGCAGATTGTCTTCAGGGCTTAAATGGCTGTCGGAGATGTCAAGGCAGGATTGACAATACTGAATCATCAGGGTGTGTATGAGTAGAGTGTATAAGTGGAAAATAAATGAGTGGTTTAAATGGAGAACGAGCTTGCCTCTTAGATGCAGTATTGGGTGTTAGGAATCTCATCAGCTGTAGCAGTCACACTTGTGTTCAAGCTGAAATGTCTCGCAGGGGAAAATCATTTACTCCTGAGTGGGCATCTGAAGGAATGTCATATTTGCTGACGACACAATAGGAATATCTGGGCACTTATCTTTTCCTCTGATGAACTGGCCACTCACCACTCTGTGTATTAAATAATGTGTTGCATATATTTAGCAAAACCGTTCGGTTTGGACAGGTTTAGTGCTACTTTTCATCTTTGCATTTTAGGATTCATTTTTAAGAATCATTTAAAAGCTGTAAAATGCCAGGTAAGATGTCTACAATATGGTTTCCATCACCAGTTTAAAGTAAAGTTTTTTTTTTTTAAATAAAAGGACTGTAGAGGAAAGTTTGAGTTCAGTAAAACAGATTTGCTAACTTGGGCTACTTTTTAATGTTAGAAAAATGCTTGACCACCCACATTTGCACCTCAGCAATGCCTTTTCAGTGTTCACCAATTTACCCAGTCTGAAGTTTATATTATAACAAGTTCCATAATCATTTCAGTCCATTCTCTTTTACACGTCAAAACGCGTTGCACACACATTTTTAAAGGTACTCTGGCATTCAAAGGTTTGGGG